ATATCATCATAACCCAGAATACATAATTTCTGCCTAAGATGGAACACAGCCTTTAGCCTGTAGCGGGATGATAACCGCAAATCCATACTTACCCTCTAGAGTGCAACTTCTCAAGTATGGATATTGCTTCAATGGCAATGCATGCTACCATTTCAATAGACATCCTGAAATGGACAATGTAAAAATAAACAGAATGTCATTCAATTCCAGCAAACAGCAATACCTCCTCATAAAATTATAAATACAGAATGGAGCTTACGCATGAGAATTATTGTTCCAGACATCCCACAAACTAGGACCAAGCATATCCATAACCTACAAGCATACAAAAACATTTCTGTAATTTCATGGAGATTAAAGCGGAAATCCAAAGAGAGACTATCATAAAGTTATACTACAGTAAGCAAATCACATACCATAATGTAGTAATCACCTTGTCGTCCCTTGTAATGGACACGTGGTATCCCATGACTACCACCAAGGGCACTGCCACAAAGAAAACATGCTATCAATTATAGGACAGTGTTTTTACCAGATATGTCACAATAACTAAGAGCTACATTACGAACGAATACAAGAAAAAGATTTACTTGTAGACCTGCCACTCATAAGGTGGTCCATAGTTACAACCTTTGCTACTTCTATGCTCAAATTTCAAGGCAACCTAGAACCAAATATGTCAATATAATCAACAAAAATATCAAAGAGAATGATCTTCAACTTTCTTGGGGGGTGGGGGCGCGGAGGTAAACACAGATGCAGAATGTAGTGCTTACCTCTACAGCTCCTGCGCCAGTTCTTTCGTGTGGATGTGACGGATTTACCCGACGACCTACATACACTTGACCAAATCCTCCTTTACCAAGCTTTTTGTCAATCCTATAAGCTGGTGATCCACCAACCTGGACCTGTTACACATAAAAGGAGATATTGCAATTGCAATGTTCAAGACGAATCCTTCAACCAGAAAGTGGAGGGAAAAAACAAGAATAGCCACAAAAACTCATATACGCTCCCAGCACTATAGACACAACATAATGTCATCAAACACCAAGCACATTTATCAGAGCAACCAACATCAATGAAAATAACAAGAAAGCATACTCCGTTTCCTCAAAACTTGTCAAAAAATAAAAACTTCATAGATCAACCCAAAGCCAATTATAAAACATCAAAATCTTAAAAGATATGGAGAGAAAGTTTGCCTGACTAAATACCCAGAGGTTTGTTCAGACAACCAACACAAGATAATAGACCAAAGAAACTTGATAAATTCACATAATCTTAAAGACTTATACAAACAAGACCTCAAGACCCAAGGGTGTGGCCCGGTGGTTAATGAAATGGGAGGAGAACCATGCACTCTCGGTTCAAATCCTAGAAGAGTATTAAAAAAACACTAGGTGGCTTCTTTTTTTGCTTAAGCATTACTACACAGAGTTAACCAGGTTGTAGGTACCCATGAAATAGCAAACCACCCTGGACACCATCGTCATTAAAGAAATAGACAAAGAAGATCTCAATTTAAAATCTCTTCCATAAACAAATTATAGTGAACAAGAGGCATAGACAAGCGATCAGTACGAATTGCAGAGCTTATATATACAACTAAAAGACTGAATCTTCCATCATCATCATCAAGCATAAACAAATTAAAAATTAAAAAATTAATTTTAAAAACACAGCATCAAAGCACTGTTGAACTGAAAGAGAGTAAGCAGAAATACTGAACTCTAGAGAGAGACAGAATAAGAAGAAGAAAATCGTACCCTTTCAGGAAGGGGAGCAATGCTACCTTCTTCCTCAGCTCCCAAACCCTTATCACCGCCGCTTCCACCGCCGCCACTAACGTACTCATCCATTTGCTGTTTTTTTTCTCCTTCCTCTACTTCCTTCTTCCTATCCTTATCCTCCTCTGCTTCACCAGTCCTAGACCTTGTCGTTTTCTTCACAGCATTCTCCTCCTCATCATCATCTACCACTACTATAGGTACAACTTCCTTAATTACCTCTTCTTCGTTATTAACGTTGTTCTTCTTCTTCCTTCCTCCAACGGCTCTATTTCCCGCACCTGCTGCTCTCCTCGTCCTCGTTGTTCTCCGTGCAACCCTCTTGTTTTCGTTGTTCTCGTTGTTGTTGTTTTCGGGTTCGATTGAAGCAATCGGTCGACGGCCTCTGCGCACACCGCTACGCAGTTGAGGCATATCGATCATCCATCAACTTCTGAAAACCCTAAACCGAACTTCATTAAAACAAGGCCCCGTCTTCTTTTTCTTATTCTAGACTCTTCGACTGGGTAAAATTCAAAGATCTCCCAGAGCAAAAATCAGAAAATTAACGAAATCGGCGCCGGCGACGGATGACTGACGGGCGATCAAATGCCGATGACTGTGTGTGTATGTGAATCTGTATGTATCTGTATATGAATTAGGGCTCGGAGCTGTGACAGAAAAAACTCCAAACGAATGAGAGTGAAAACAGGCGAGAAACAGAAAAAGACTTTGCCCTCTTTCTTTTTTCCTCTTGTTGGATTTCTTCTAAATGAGAGTAATGGAGTAATATTTTTTTTTTTAAAGGGAACTTTACTTACAAATTATTTTATTGCTTTATAATGTAGGAGACCCTATATTTAATTTACACTTTTTGTATTTTTATAGTTTGTAGACGTGTTTAATAGTATATGGTACAAAATTTAATCTAAAAAAGGAAAAGTTTCGGCATATAAGCTAAAAACATTATAACATACCAAAACTATTTTCATATCTTATTATATCCTATTACATGCCATGCCAATTTTATAAGAGTACGATTAGAAAGCGCAATAAAATTTAAAAATTAAAGAGGTGGTAAACAAAATTTGTTGACGACAAGTTAATTTTTTACACTTTTTTAATAACTTACATGAAATATTGTACCAAATATTTTTTACTTTTCAGGTATATATATTGAGTAACGTCTATCTAAATATATAGACAAATAGATGAATCATGTATATCTTTTTAAATCTGTTGGTTAACTTTTAATTGAAATTCATTTCTTTTTGTCCATCAAAAAAATGACATGTTTTTCTATTTACCACCTCTTTATTTAAAATTTTATTTCGTTTTCTAATTATAGTCTTATGAAAATTGGAATGGAATGTAAAATGATATAATAAAATATGAAAAGTAATTTTTGTGTGTTATATGTTTTTAGCCTATATGCCAGAACTTTTCCTTTTTTAGATTAAGTTGTGTTCCATAATATTAAACTTTTTTACAAACCAAAATTGAATTATTTTTTGCATTGAAGCATCTCATAATTAACAATAAAATTGAAAGAATTTTGAATTATTTAATCTGGAGTATCAATTTTATAATGTTTTTCTAATATAAATAACTAAAAAAAGCAACAACGTAGAAAATACATAAGAGCCTTTTTGGAAAACTACATTAGAATTGGTATAATTACACAGTTTTGTATTTAGGAATAAATAATTTAATATACTATATATATATATATATATATATATATATATATAAATAAAAAATTACTTTAATGTAATATTTTGACAAAGGCTGTCAATACCTAACAATCTTTCCCCTAAATATTAACGGTTGCTTTTTTCTTCTTCTTTCTTTTTTCCCTCCGTCAACGCTAGCTAATCAATAGCTTCTGAATGTCTTCTTTCCTTTTCTCCCTTTTCAAGAAGAGTCTTCCAAACAAAACAAAAACAAAAAAATCAGTTTCGTTTTTTGGCCAAAAATAATCTATAACCACACGCCAAAAAAAAAAGTTTATTTTTCCAACTTTTGCAACTCTTAATCAAAATGTTGAATGATCGCTTTACTACTACAACATATATTTAACAATGTTTATCCGTAAAATGGTACAATTGAATTTATACGTGATATCTAGACGAGTGAACTAATTTGATCCTGAAATAATAAAATAATCGAAAAATTATACAATACTTAGCCTTAAAATGTAGATGAAATGGCAGAAGTGACAGTTCCGGGAACAAGGTTTCTGGACATAACAATAGTGAGATCAAAAAGCGAAAGTAAGATTGTATTAAGCTTTGTATAGAATGTAGTGTAGATTTGCCAGAAAATTTCCGTCATTTACAATGATAACTGAGCTCATTATTTATAGTCATGTCTAGGTAATGAGGTCCTAGAATTGTGCCCTTCTTTAATGTCAATTATGAGGGTCATTGATGAAGGTGTAATGGTGAATATAAATGCCAAATTTCCTATAATAGACAATCGCTCTTAATGCCGCGTAATATTCTTCATTAAATGTTACCAGGCGCAGAGCATTTATAACACATTTATGAACGTTATTCTTTCTAGTGACAAGCGGAACAACGACGTTCAGTTTCTGACCATCCCCGTCTTGGTTCCACGTGTCTTTTTGAATGGCCATGAGTCTTAGCATATTTTACCCTATATAGATAGTCCCCCTACTTTCCGATGACATAACTTTGTGTTACCGGAAAGTTGGTAAAAATACTCTTTTGGCGGGAATTACTATAATTTCCTCTGAAGGCTTCTGACGGTTGATTATACGTATGTTTCTCCGCATTTAATGCTCCGAGCACGCGTCATCCCATGATTCAGCACAACTTTTGCCGATTATCGAGATAATCATGGCCATGAATTTTAGCTGCCAAATTTTTTTATTTACACGCATCAATTTTCTCTCTTATACTTCATAATTTTTCAAGCTTCTGATTTGCGCCTTTGTTCTCCATCTTTTCTCTAACTCTCTTCAAAACAAAAAAAAAATCTTCTCCTTCTTCCATACAATGGCTTCTTTACCAAAATGCACCAGTTCTTCAAAGAACAAGAACAAGGCTGAGGACATTGCTCCTGCAACGGTGGGCTCCATCATCCCTAGAAGTCTTATTACCACAAAAAACTTCGAAGAGAAATTCTACTGCTAATTCTCGTACATGGGTCGTTGGTAGGTACCCTTCTTTCATCCGCCCTTCCAGCATTCTTGTTGTGACGGAAGACTGTCGCTGCCATATGTTGGATATTATTGCTCCTGATCTATCGGAGCGAGTGACCCTTCCTAAGGAGGGTTTCACATATTTCTACATATATCCCTTTACTTTGGGTGCGTTTTCTTTGAGTGGAGAGCTTGATTCCGTGATTGCGGAGTTTTTCCGTCGCTACCAAATATGTTTGGCACAAGTAATTCCTTCTGTGTGGAGGACGGTTGCTTGCCTTCGGCGTTTGTGCCAGGAGACTGGAGAAGAGCTAAATTTAGCTCATATGATGAATCTCTATTCTCCCAAGATCTTTCGCGGGGGAATGGTAAACCTCTGCAAGTGTGCCACCATGCTCTGTTATCTAGCATGGATGACGACAACGACTGTGGGTGGATGGAACGGTTCATTGCAGTTGCCACCAGCGATATCATTCCTGCAATGGCTTCATCCTTTCCGGCCGCTTAGAACCGCACTTGTATCTTTGTTTAATATTTTCTTTTGATAAATATTATTCTATAGCCGTATTGATCCTTGATCCTTTGCATGTTTCAGTGAGTCTATAGGTTCCGCCTATCGTTGAAAGCTTGGGCCAGTGGGTCCAAAAGATCTTGGATGTTACCACGCCCGAGAGTCATACGTCGAAAGAGTTGTCCATCAAGTACGGGGTGGAAGGACAAAATCATGATAATTCAAACTAACATTGTTTCAACTTTTTATGTGAGGAAATTGATTGATCCATAGTATCTTTTCCTTGAAATCAGGTCTACCTGCAGGTTCTGTTGTTGTACTCGAGGATGACGTCTTGGTTGATCCTTCTGATACGGCGAGGCTGCTTCAAGAAGCACTTACTCGAACAGGTATGTTCGGTCCTGATTCGGGCACAAATGTTTTACCACAAAGTCCCCGGCCGGAGAACAAGCAACCAAAAAAAAGGCATTCTTCTGTGGCCGGGGAAAAGAATAAGAGGGCGAAGACTATTGCCCCTGACTCGTCTTAGGATGTTGTGATCACTAGCCCTTCTCCCGGGCCAGTCATAAACACCATGATGATCGACAATGATGGAGAAGCTAGTAATGATGGGGCTTCTCTACACAGAAGGTGGCGTTCATCATCAACTCAATAGAATGCTCAATTTGTTGAGTTAGTTATACCAACTGAGGACGATGCCTCGACACTTTGGGGGAATTTGATTTAGGGGAAAATGCCAACTCCCATTACCGGTCCCCAATTGTTGTGCCCGGTACTGTAGGGCTGAGTACTGGGTCCCTATTGTCTTTGGTTGGCGAGCACCCGACAACCAGGACTGCACTCAGTGCAACTACTTCACACCCTTTAACTCCATCAACTTCATCCCTGCCTTCACTAGCACCAGCAACTGCTACATCACTTCCATCTCTATCTACTCTACTACCAGCAACTGCTACACTATCTGCACCGGCCACATCTGAGCATGAAGAAGGTGTTCCTCATCACCAGTCCCCAGTTCATAGGAATTTGGGGCAAAATTATGCTACCCCTTCTGAAGATCCCCATAGGAGGAGGAATGTTACTCTTTCAGTCTCTACCAGATGCAATCTGCTATCCCGTCCGGTGGAGCTTGCTAATTATCTGAAGCCAAAATATTAGAAAAAGATTCAGGCACTCTCGAAAGAGTGTTTGTTGAACAACGACATGCACAATGTCGCAGCGGTACATTCCTTTCATCCTTTGTTAATTCTTCTACTTTTGTATAAATGTATTCTGAGTTTTACTTTTCTTGATTTGTAGGCCAACTTTCTTGCTTTTGATGGCCTTCAGAGGTTGATTCATAATAAGGAAGAAATTACTTTTGCTCTGGATTAGCTTTTGGCAGAACGGGAGCAAATTGTCGCTCGCCTCTCGAAATTGGAATCCAAGGCCACTGAGGCCGTTGTATTGGAAGCTTGTTTTTAGCAAAGCGAGCAAGAGGTTGTAACTTTTAACCAAGAAATTGGCCCGCTGAGGGTTAGATTTGCCAAAGCCAAGGCCAAATGGGTTGAAGTCCATGACGTCGTTCTTGCTGCAACCGAACGCGAGGCTGCCTCCACTGAAAGAGTGACTAACTTTGAGGCAGCCTTGAACTCCAAAATGAAGAGCTTGCTGATGCGGGGTCGAAACATGCCCAGCTGGAAGAGAAGTACAGGAAAACTATCGAGCATAATAAGCTCTTTAGTTCAATTGTCCGTGACATTGATGCTAGCCTCAGATCTATTAGGTCAGCCCAGGAAAGCCTTCCTGCCAAGGTAACCCAACTCAAATAAGAACTTAAGTGCCGAGCAGCTTCCTTCGTTGTTGAGAAAACTTATGCCATGTACAGCATGAGGAGAAAACCCCTGGAAGAGGCAAAAGCAGATATCATTGATTTTGATACCGAGATTGCTATGGCCCGTAAGCTTGAGTTAGCTGCAAAAAATGGAATCCCAACGTAGTCTGATACTCCTGGCCCTTCTGGTTCCAGTTTCGAGTTTTCAAGAACTGAAGAGGAATCGAAAGACGATGATGCTGAAGGCCAAACTAGGGAAAATGCCGAGCCATCGGTGGAT